ATCATCGAACGGTGAGTACGATTAACTCGCGATGAACCTGCGTGTACCTCGGTTGCACGTCTCTGGGAGTGAGTTCTCAGCCTCCTCAACGTTCCTCGAGCTACCTCTGTCTTCCTATCGTTCCTTCGCGACGACGTCTCTGTTGGTTGCACACGGTCGTATTCCCTTCCTCCCCGTAACTCCTCTCTCTCTCTCTCTCTCTCTCTTCTCCTGTGTCTCCGTCCCTCCCCCGTGGCGGCAACGAAGCGAGTTCGAACCGAGGCGAGTCGAGGAACCCTCTCCGTGGAAGAGGAAGAAGGAGAACGAAGGAGAACGGTGAGCAAATGCTCTCTCCTCGTTCGCCTCCCCCCTCCCCCATTCACTCCTCTCCAGCCTCCCCTCCCCCGGTTCGTTCGGTCTTTTTCCCTCCCTTTTTCAGCTGTCTGCCCCTGTGTTTCTTCGTTTTTTCCGTTCTCTCTCCTCTCCTCTCTCTCTCTCTCTCTCTCTCTCTCCCCTCCCTCCTTCCTTGCCTGCCTCTGTCTCTCTCTTTCTCTCTCTCTTCTCTTTCTCGAGGGGTCAACGTACAGGCGCGCGGCGTGACCGAAATCACACACACGCTCGTTGCGAACCCGCTCGACTGTGACTCGCTTCTTCGTCTTTATTTGGCCTCTAATTGTTCCTTCTTGCGCGACGCCCGTCGGTCTCTGCTCGCCTGCCTGCCTGCTCGCCTGCCTGCTCGCCTGCCTGCCTGCCTGCCTGTCGACCCTCTCCGACGAACTTTCGACGAGTCACCTGAGGATTCCTCCTTGGAACCCGCTACCACTTACCTGCCCCATGAAAACTCGCCTTCCTCACTCGCGCGGCTCACCTTGCCACCACATTGCCAACGAGGAATTTTTCTAGGCTACTGGGTGACCACACTCCCGGCGAGTCTCTGTTCTACTAATTTTCCTTCCTAGTCCGCCCAATTTTTCGAGATTTATTAATCGATCGATAAGTTTCATCAATTTTTGTTATATCTTAAATTCTTCCTCTTGCGATATATATATGTATATATATGTAATGCGAATTTTTCCACCCTATTAGACGATTAGATCTATATAGAGCTATACTTAGCTTTCTCCGATGAATTTTTCAGAATTTCTCAGTGAAGGATATCGAGCGACGTTCATCCCCACGAAACTTCACTAATTATCAAATATCTCTTAAATTCTTCCGAGCGTGTGCCTCACCGTATCGTGAATTTTTCAAAATTTCGTAGAAATATCGATGTATACCCTATATCCCTTCGAAACAGCTTTCCACCTAAATCACTTAATTATCTCTTCAAATCCTGGCCTCTATCCTCTCTCTCTAACTCCTTCGCAACAGAATAAATTCGCTTAAATTGAAATTAGAGAGCGAGAGAGAGCGAGCGAGCGAGCGAGAGAAAGAGAGCAAGAGAGAGAGAGAGAGAGAGAGAGAGAGAGAGAGAGAAAAGTGGTATTCCTTCTTTTTTTTTTTCAATGAAACGCGTGCCTTCCACCTTCGAGGCCAGAGAATCCACCTCGCTAATAACCCGTTCCTCCTCGCGACAATCGGTGCACCCCTCCCCCGGGGGCAATTAGCCCCTCTTACCGGAGGATCGCGGCCGCTTCCGGTCGTGATAGTGGTTTCTGATCGGTGCAACAACCTGCCTCGTTTCACCAACGTCTCGGACAATAGGTCTGGATGGGTCTCTCCGTGGGCCCGGCTCTACCTGGTCGGAGGGAGAGTATGGTTGACGAAAAAAGGAAGGGAGAGGGAGGGAAACGGGGCCTGTGTGGTGTCGCAGCGAGCAGATTAATGGTCCCGGGGAATTCTTGGTAGTCTATACCAAGAGAGAGAGACTATCTTCCTTCTTGTTCCCTGTGTGCGTGCATGCGTGCATCCAGTGCCAGAAGGTCGTGCGTAAACCAGAAATAAGCCACCCACACGATAGGAAATTTCATTGGAAGGCCGAGCGAAGAATGTCGAATATACGTGTCCATGTAACATGTTCTGAGGTTAAGGATGGTGGTTTCGTTTTTGGCGATGGTGGAAAATATTCTTGGAAATTGATGGAGATGCACGGAAATATGGTAGATATTATAGATAGTACGATACATGTCTATCTAATGAACGTATTTAGGAGTATCAGTGATCGATGAATATTCAAGGATGTTGTTACTTTTTGGGTCGTTTTAACTTAAGAATGGAGAGAGAATTTTTTCGAAGGATATTTGTTTAATTCTTTCTGAAAAAATAGAAACTACTTAGAAGAAGAATTCTTAAAAATTAGAATTTTTTAATTGAAAATATACAACGCGTGTTTAACCTCTGTCTCTCTTGAATCATAAAATTTTCTAATCTTCTTTTTCTTTCCTCATTTTCCTATGAAAAATTACCAAGAAATCTTTGTTCTTGAAAATTTGTGCTCAAACTAAATAGTCTTGACGAACAATGAAATAAAACGAAATGGAGATTCGTTTTCTCCAAAAATTTTATTACATGTGAGGGGGAGAGGTAGACTTCAGGTAATACTCTCGATAATGGGTGAAAAGAAATGAAGGGAAACTTTGTTATTTTCCGTTAGATGTGGAGGATACCTGGAATTTCCACCGCTTTGTAAACGGTCGCCTTCGGCGACCTGCCACTCGGACAATGATACCTCTTGTCTCAAACTCTACCTGCGTGGCAAGTACCGAGTTACCTGAGTCTCTGTCCTACTCTCCTTAGGCCGCGGTTAGGGCCTCGTTATTAGCTTAGTACCGTTTCAGACCTGTTTTCACGCCGACAATATATATATCGAGTGCAGGCCCCTTCGAAAGAAATTTCCACGTGTTCTAAACACATGTGTCCAAGGGTGTTTGCTTGGCCAAAGAAGAATTTTTCGTGCCCCTAATTTTGAACGAGCTTGTTATTTTTCGTAAAAGTTTTAATCTATATATATATATATATATAAGTGTTGCATTCCAATGTAGAATAATATTTTTAGAAAAGCTTCGACATGGTGTTAAATACAATAAAGTTACAAGGAAACAGGAAAGTTAGAAGAAATTAATTATTATCTCATCGTCGAAAGTTTTGCAACTTCTCTTGAAACGAAGAAGAAGAAGAAGAAGAAGCATATATATAGTTTTAGTTAATTAATCAGTTTTTAATAATCAGTTTTAAATATTATATAATAATATTTAAAATGTAAAGTTTAAAATATCCTTGTCGTCGTATACATCGATGTAATAAGGATAAGAAATATGTATTGTAAGAGAATTGGAAATTATTCTCGTTACGTTTCATTTTCTTTACAAAATTCTGATTCTGGGTCATTTTTACCCTCTCTTCGAAACGGTGAAACGAAACTGATGGTGTCCAACGAAGATCGAGGGCAACGAAGTCAGGTTTTTTTTCTTGGTCAATATCTTTACAGAGAGTTATATATATTTTTTCGACGAGTTCATCTTCTTCGTCCATTTCGCCCGTTGCATCTTGAGAACATGAAATTTCTTTACTAGTTAAATATCCATTCGATTACTTTTTAATCTTAAATTACTTTCACAGTTTATTACATCGTTACGGTCATTTCGAAATTAGAATTTTTCCCGAAGAGAACGATCGTGGAAAGTTCACCATTTCTTTCCTCCTAGAATTTTGGATCAAACAAGTAATCCAGTAGTAATTCAAATAAGAGAATTTCCGTAGAAAATATTCCCTGTAAAAGGGGGTGTGAAAAAGGGGAGAGGGAGGGAGGGAAGAAAATAAGGTTTGTAGTATAATGCAGTGCACGAGATATGGTCGTTTTCGCACGCGCCACGCGTCAAGGTGGATAGACCATCCTTCTTCATCACGTCGTACAAATGTGTTCAACTTGACCCTGAACACGATAAATTGGACTTTTGGTCTTCTCCGATCTTTGTAGAATAAATCCTCGACTGGTTCCTTCGATCCACTGGTGATTTAGAAGGTTGAACTGCTTTTCAATAGACGATGATACGATGTTCACCAAGTTGTCCCCAATCATGTCAAATGAATATTTGCTGGACCGATCGACGTGACTTCGACGTTATCTCTTATTAGAGGATATTATTTATTTTCAGAAAACGTAGTTCAAAATAATTGAAAGAGAATATCATCAGGAATTTTTAGAAAACAATTTTTGAATATTTGTATTACTTGGAGAAAAGTTTTGAAAAAATATATATTGTATATCGTATTGTGATTAGTTTCAATTCATTGGAATTCATTTTTAATCTTTTCTTTTCTTTTTTCTCTTTTAATTATAAAATATTCTCAAAATCTTTGATCCTTTTTTTGTATTACATTTTCGCATGAAATTGTTGATATCGATACATCTGCTTTACATCTTAACACTTTTCGTTGACCCACGTAGTAGTACTCCTAATCTAACTCTTATCTCATTCTGGAAACAATTCAAAAATTTTACACACACACACACATATCTTGTTGAAAATTCTTGAGAATCTATACAGAGATATATACGATCTATAGAAGAGCGTATTTCGAATTTCCAATCGAAATATATAAGTCGAATCCCAAAATCGTCAAAACGCAGCAACAACGGTACATCGGCAAAGAAACGTGAAAGTTGTGGAAAACGTAAAAAGAAGAAGAAGAAGAAGAAGAAGAAGAAGAAAGGAGGGGGAAGAAAAAAACAAAAGGGTTCTCGAGAGCGGCAGGGGTGGCAATACGATGCAAGCAAGGCTCGGGCATGGGAAGGCAAGGTAACGCAAGGTAAGGCGAGTCCCACGTCGTGTTGCGTGGACACCGGGCATCGGGCGCTCACGTGGCTCCCCACCTTTCGATTCGTGTGCGTGAGCCTGCTCCCTTCCGACGCTCCTTTCGCCGTGGCTTCGGTTCAGCTTCTCCCACCCGAGATCCTCGCGTGGCTCTCCCCCTCCATCGGTGCCGCTCTGTCCTCGAAAGCTCGAGTGCGATTGCAGCGCCGCCACGCCTGCCGCTCCGCAGTAACGCGATTGCTCTCGTCGAGTGTAAAACCCGTTCGCGGAGAGTGCTTCGCTCGTTACTTCGTGACACGCAACGCGCGTTGTCCCGCGTTCGTGTCTCCTCCCTCTCTCTGTTCCTTCGTTTCCCTCTCTCCTGTGTCTGTTTCTTTCTCCGTCTGTTTCTTTGGTGTCGATCGGCGCGCACTGCGACTTGGAGAGTGTTCAGTGGTCGGTCTCGCGATAGTTCGGTGCTCGGTCGAACCGCGTTTTTTCTCTCTCTCTCTCTCTCTCTCTCTCTCTGTCTTTGTCTCTCTCTCACTCACTCACTCTTTCTTCTTTACCACGATTGAATCAGAATAGACGAGAGGAGCAATCGCATTCGGTTGAAAAGTTAGGAATCGAGTTTAGTATTTTTTTTTTTCGGAGTTGTTTGTGCGAAAGGAGCCGCGCGTCCCGTTGTCTGTGACTGCGAGTGGGAGCGACAGCGAGTGGACTCCGAGAGTCTCGAAAGCGTCGTCGTGACACGGACTATGCCGAAACGCGGCCATCCAATTGGGAAGCAGCGTGGTCGCGCTGGCCTGGTGTTTGGGTCGCCTAGCGGCGACTGAGTCCTGTTACGGGATGCTAAAAGTTCCCGCGGGAGTCGGTGGCGAGCGTTGGCTGAAAGAGGAGAAGAGGAAGAAGAAGAAGGCAGGAAGGATGGGCGGGAGACGAGGTGTGCTGGTCCGCGACGTAGGTGCGCATCGCGACGCCGACGACGTGACGGCCACGTGCCCCCGCGGATATCTCGTTGGCTGTTGCCACTAACTGCTCTATGCATCGTACGTAGTCGAGCGAAACGGTGACCGTGTACGGCCGTGTCGTTTTCAACGGCGTGTCGTTATTTAAAAAAAAACAAGATAGTGTGTGATTCTTAGATAGATGGAATATAGAGTGTGTCGGTGATATTGGAATATATATATATATATATATAATTTTTGCTTCGTATCAAGTGCACAAGTGACTTCGAGAAGGATCTTTCTCTTTCTTTCTCTCTTGGTGTTCATCGATACTATTCACAGGGTCGTGGAAAGAAAATCGTCAAGTTGTTGGATATTTTAGTGGGTGCGAGAACAGGTGGAACACGCGTGTTCTTCCCCGATAAATAATTGGTCGATAATTGGATAGATAATAGAATTGAATTTGCCGCCGGTGAGGGGAGAAGAGAGGACGGTGGCTCGAGTTGTCATCACGGGATGTTGATGATTCCCGCGCGAAACGAATATCGTTGTGGTATCGACTTGAAACTTGAAACGCTTGATACACGACGGTACCGTGTTCCTTCCGTCCGAACCGAAGAATTTAATACACCGGCAAAGAAGTCGACAAGTTAGTCGTGAAGTGTTGTGATTCTTTGGCCACGGTGAATTCCATTCGTAGTGATTAAACGAGGTTTCAAGTGGGAACCAGTTCGTTACTGCTACGTTAAACGAGGGAAGGGACTATTTGCCGGTAATCGGAGGCGAAAAATACGACGGAGTCGATAAACTCGACTCGGTGGTGGTGGTGGTGGTGGTGGTGTTGTTGTTGTTGTTGGTGGTGGTGATCGAAGAAGAAACCGGAGAGTAGTGTAACTAAACTAGGCGCCACGAAGGTGAAGAAGAAGAAGGGAGAAGAAAAAGGAAAGCAAAAGGAAAAAAGAGGAAGAGGAATAGTCGAGAGCCGCGTCGAATTGAAATCTTTGGAAGAGAGGAGCGATAGATCGTCGATTATCGTGGTGGAAAAGGAGGGAACGACGGAACGAAAGTCTCGGCTCGAGAAATTCCCGCGCTTGTACCCCGATCATCAGGCCGACGGGAGTTCGAGGAGAGGGTGAAGGGCGTCGTGGAGGGGGGAGTGATGCCGGTGAGGGTGGCACAGCGCCCCCCAGGTGGAATACCACTGCACGCCGGCGTGCCGGTAGCGCCCAGCAGCGTAACCGCCTCCGGTCCGTCGGGCCGGTGCCTCGGGGGCCCGGCAGCGCCCCCCGCCGGCTCGCCACCGCTGCCGCCCTCCTTGCAATCGCTCGGCGGCGGTGTGAGCAACGCGAACAGCGCCGCTGGCGCGGCCAGCAACGGGTCCAGCAACGGTAACACCGGGAACACCGGCAGCATAGTTGGGAGCAACACTGGTCAGGGGGGGATCGCGACCCAAGCCCTTGGCGGCGTCACAACGACGAGCGGCGTCACCACGAATCCCTTGCAGGCGATGGCGTCGGCGGCGGCCTCGCTAACCCAGCTCAACAACATGGCGAATGGCCCGCTGCCGCCGCTCGCGGCCACTGGGCCCACCGGCCCCCCTAGCTTGCCGCCTCCTCAGCCAGCTACCACGCCGACCCATGGGGGTCCACCGACGCCGCACGCCGGTGTCACAGGTGGGCCCCATCTCAATGGAGCATCTCCAAGCCCTCACCCCATGCCGCCCCACGGGATGATGAGCGGCTCGCCTCACGCCCCTCACCCGCATATGGGTGGAGGTGGGCCCTCGCCTCATCCTCACCACCCCGGCCCCCACATGGTCGGCTCGCCTCATCACCCCGGTCCGCATCCCATGGGCCCAGCCGCCGGTATGATGGGCCCGGCCGGTATGCAGCCCCAAGCCGCGCCCGGCATGTGCGGACCAGGACCAACCGGCCCGATGGGGCCTCACGCTCATCCTCAGGGACCCGGAGTGCCCGGACAACCGCATATGCACAACGACCCCTTTTACTGCTCTCCCTTTGGATCGCATTACTTCAGGTAAATGACGCAAACACAATCACGAGGTTTACGAATCGGTTGATCGATCGTTCGCGCGCGAGGGTGCAAAGGTCCGCTCTCTCTCTCTCTCTCTCTCTCTCTCTCTCTCTCTCTCTCTCTCTCTCTCTCTCTCTCTCTCTCTCGCACGTCTTCCACGCCTATCGTTCGTTGCGAATGGATGGAATGTTTGACAAGCCGTCAGGAAGTTTTTTCTCTCTCTCTCTCTCTCTCTTCGTGCGATCTTTGATTTTTCTCGTTGATTTGAACTTTGATTGTTTGCGTATACACGTGCAGCCTCTCTTATCTCTGCGCGAATTTCGTATTACTGTGCCGCGATTTCCGTGATTTCCGATAACTCTCGTTCTCGATATATTTCTCTCTCTCTCTCTTTTTTCTTTTTTTTCTTTTTTTAAAATCGACGACTCAAGGAAAACGCACTCGATGACGGATTCTCCGTTTACACCGAGATAATTAGGGAAGAAGCGATCAATCTCGCCTCGATTATGGCGTATCGATGGCGCGCGATATAAATAAATAATCCGTGGTTCGAATCGACTGTAACAATTTTTCGTCACGCGAAGCACAGCTCACCTGATCGACTAACAGGTTACCGCGGTGTGTGCTTTCTTTCGAAAGACGGTCACGCGAACTTGCTGAAAAAGGATGTTGTATCGCGTGGCCCGAGAAACTTCCTATTCGATAGCAAGGTTGGCTGCGATCCCGCCTATCTTGGCCTCTTTTAAATCTTTTCTCAACTCGAAACTTTCAACGCGTATCGAGAAAGAAAGAAAATAAGTTTTAAGATCCGAAATAATTAAAGTATCCATCCAGTGTCTGCATTCGAACTTTACGGCTCGATACTTCGTTTCGTGCCAATCGTTCGTCTCTCGCTGGCGTACCATCTCTCTCTCTCTCTCTCTCTCTCGAGCGTAGTAACAGTATACTCGAAGAATCCGTTATCACGGCTAGGCTAGGATCTTCCTGGTGACCGTTGCGCGGTCGAACGTATCACGAAATGTAGCCGCGTGTATAAATAGTCTTCGAGATTCGACAGGTTCATTGATCGAATGGCGAAAATTAAACGATCGATTCTCTTTGTTGACAAACGTCCCTTTCGTGTCTTTCATCTTCGAGGAACAGCGAGAATCTTCTTCCCGAGAATTTCGTATAATTCGAAATTGTGACAAGTCTAACTCTCCATGGTTTAAAACGCTAAGGAAATTAGTGGCAACGCAAGTCAAACTGGCCATTATATCGATGCCCTTCTCCCATCCAACGTTACATACTCCGTCGTTTGCACGTCGTTTCGAAAAGGCAACGCTCGAAGCCGAATCGATCGGCCAATTATCTTGGACAAACGAGCACGTCCGCGAGTCAGGTGGGCCTGGAAGCGTCTGGGACGCTGTTCTATCCGCAATTTCAGGTGGCTCGCAGGTGGGAGGTACCCTTTTGCGCAGGTGTACGCGTAGAGGAACGCGACTTCCTTTCTAAAGTCTGTGGAGAGGAGGGCCAGATAGGTGGAGGGCCTGCCAGGAACCGATAGCCGGTTGCATAGCTTCCACGGTGACGATTATCCGCCTCTTCTCCTTCGACCTTCCTTGTATCCGGTCTGGACGTCTCTATCGGCTCGACATCATCTCCCTGCTCGCTGGCCCTGTCTGGTAATCGCGAGGGTTCATTATCATACGCGTTCCACGCTGCTACATTCGCACTGCTTCGTTCAACAACCTTTTTTCCTTTCTCTTTCTTTTTTTCTTTTTCTTCCTTTTTATTGCTTCAAGATCGTCTACATTGATTCCCTTTTTGAATAAATGCGCGTGTGGGGTTCTCGATTGTCTCAAATCGTCGTATTCCCCGTATTTGTACACCACGATATCGATGATTCGAGCGAACGCGTGTTTGCTGTGTCAAAGCTGGTTTATATATTGGGATGTAAAGTTCGATTTCGAAGGATTTTTCCGTCCAAGTGTGCTGGATCTCTTTGTTAATGTTTAGTGATGTTGGAAAATTAACAAGTTATATTAAATGTAATTATGTTGAGATTTTAATAATAATGGGTAATAATTATTTAAATTAGTATATAGTTTCATACGCAATATTTTATGCATTTATTTTGTACCTGGTTCGAGAAATTACATTTTCTTTTTATCGATATACTCATCCATCTTGTTATGCTTTAATAAAAATTTCGTTTTCGGGCATAGATATTCCGTATAAATTTTCGATTATTTAAAACTATCGGCCCCCTGACGCATCTTTAAATATTTAAGTATTATAAATGATTAGAAGTAAAGTTGAAACGATAATAACGAGAATAAATCCATATATTTCGTTTCGTATTTTTATCAGAACAAAAAAAAAAAAAATCCCAAAATTCGTATTCGTATAATAATAATTTTAAAAGTTTTGAATCGATTGGATTCTCCTTCTGAACACGCCTCCCTGAAAAATATAAAATTTATAACAACAAATATCGTTGTCGTTGTTAAAGAACAATTTACATGGATTCCAATGTTAGACTCTAAGCTCTAAGTAGTTGTGCAGCGTTTAAACTTGGAGGCATGGCCACACCACCATTGGACTCCAAAGATTCCTCGCAATTCTTCCGTTCTTCGGTTTTCTTCCCCCAACCCTCCCTCCCCCCTTGACCGTATAGTAAAAGTTCGAAATAAAGGAATAGAAGTTTTACGAAGGATTTCCTCGGGCCATTTTATTCAAGTATGAAATTCTCGGTCCCTCGTGGGTATTAAAGACACAGGTCTACAGTGTTTAAGGTCTTTACGATGTCGTTTACAACGCATCGGGGAGCTGGGATTATTTGCAAGAATATTTAATTTTTCTTTTCCTTAATTTTTTTTTCCCCCCCTCTCCCTTATTAAAATAAATCGCGCGAAGAAAGGATGGGGGGGAGGAGCGTTGGAACGAGAAGAAGAAGGAACGCTTCGAACGAGCGGAGAGAAGTTCGAGCTTGATCGGAAGTCGAACGTCGTCGGTGGGCTTATCTTATCGCGGCCTCTCGGTAGGATAAGAAGGACCTTGATCGCTTCGCGACAAACTGAATCAGCACCTTGGCTGGTTAAGAGCCCCTGGTAATTTTGCAAATTTCTAAACGTTATTTCCTCTCTCCCCTTCTCTCGAAAAAGAAAAAATTTATTTCTCGTTCGAAAAATTTCAACCATTGCAGAGTTTAATTCCTTTCTTTATAACTCTCTTTCTACGATATTGCAAATCGATGAAGAAAAACTCGTTTTTCCTTCCCCCTCAGGTTGGATAGAGGAAATTGGGAAAATTAACACGGTTTTATTAGAACGATCATTACCAATTGGATTAAATAATTCAGATATATTGGAACGAATAAAGTATCCATTATCATCAATTGAACTACCTTCTAAGAAATTCTTCTTTCACAAATGCCTCCTTCTTTGCGAGAATCACGCACAATTGGCAACCACCAAACTCTCGAAAGATCTTGAGAATTGCCAGACCGTTCCAAGATCTCTCAACATTTCCTAAAATGCAAATGGTCAAATTTCTCCACGAGAAAGATCGTGCGCCTAACCTCGACCTGAGCGAACAAGTCGAAGGACAGTTTCCGTCCCAGCGATGAAACTATGGTTTCGAGGTTTTCGCGGGCGTAAATCGGTGGATGACAAAGAGGAGCAGAGGCGTGGAAAGAGGGAAGGCTCGTTCCACGAGGCGAGGCACGCGAGGAGAGTGCATAAAGCCGTGCGCAGGTAGCGTATCAAGCCGTATCGTCGGTCGGTTCCAGTTTCACGTGAAACTGTTCGTACAACCAGCCAGGTTCAAGGCGAGCCTGAAAAGGTTGGAATACGTGTATACGTGGACCCTCTTCTTATTATAATCGTCTCGATACTTTATTGAATGCAATTTTCCTCGATGAAAATGGGGGAAGACCTCCACTACTGCTAGAAACTAGCTTCGTCGATTTTGACAAATTTCAGGATATATCAAAGTATCGAAATTATCGACCCTTTATCAAAGATTATCGAATCGTGTCTTCTCAATCTTTACCTTTCCAAAATTAATAGATCGTAACGTAAAATAAAAGAAAGAGAATTATACCTCTGGGTCTCTCGACTCGATATCCGATTATTAAATCGTTTAATGCGGAGAGTTTACTACAGTCGGTTAGGAGGAGGGAATCCTGAATCGGATCCGATCTAATTCACGCTCCTCCAGGTCGTGGAGGTAAGCAGGCAGGTCGGCTATCGAATGCATCAAGCTTTTCCACGCACTCGATTAACCCCGCCGCGCTCAATCATTCACGCGGTAGCGTCTTCCGTCCCTTCCAATTACTTTCAAAGCCGAGGAGCCGGCCCCAGCAAGCAGATAAACCTAATCCCGGTTCAGGTATATACGTATACACGTATACACACGCGCCTCGAGCCTCTCTCGGACGAGTGTGCGCGCGTAAAGAGAATGGAGGAGGAGGAGGAGGAGGTGGTGGTGGTGGAACAGGAACGTAAGAAGCTGACAAGGTGACAATGAGCAAGAGGCCTTCCTGAGTCATGGCTTACCTAGGAACGTCGTCGATACAGGTGTGTCGAGGCGGGACAGGTGAAATTTGGCAAATTTTGGACCACGTCGTTTTGAACGTGATTTTTTCCTAGCTCAGTGTCTCTCAATCTTTATCGTTTCTCCGTTTCGACGTATTTCGCTCCTCCAAATGATTAATCGAGGATTTGAAAGATAACCTGGGTGTTATTTTGAATTTTGTTCTTTTTCTTTGCCTGTTTTCTAATTTATTAGTTATATTTATATTTCTAATTGTTTCTAATTGTGTCCTTTTCATTGTTTCTATAAAAATGGAAACTCCTTGATTCCAGGAATTTAAGTTCATATTGTTGACTCTTTCTTGCGTGTTGTGTGCTTAAATTGATTCTTCGTTGTTTCTGATAAAAATAAATAAATATTATACGTTTCCTCTAATTTTTAATTTTCATGTATATTAACGAAATATTAAATTTACGTATATATAA